GTGGACAAAATACTCATTTGCCTAATAATTCTGCACTCCCTGTAATGTGTGTATACAGATACGTTAGGCAGGCCTGATATATCTCAGGTTTCAACCACACTGTGCAATGCGCTAAACTCTGTCGTGCTTGTTAACCGCTGAACTACGCAATATTACATCTTATTTTGTACTGCTTTACTCATATTTCTTGTATGGTGTACACGTTCCCTATTGTTGAATATAGTATTATTGTTATAATACAGAGAGGTGAGCCAGATATTGAGCAGACAAAGCCACATTAAGTTTCCAGGGCTGAAAAACTCTTTCAGATTTGTGTCACGATTAAGGTTTTGGTCAGAACTTTTTTTCCGAGCATCAATATCATGGGATTTGTTGTCATTTTCAACAGCAGGACTGCACAGATTTCATGCAGGTGACGAAGAGTAACAGAAACAAACACAGCTTCCTTGGACGCGTTCTGTTTCCTGATGATTCACTCCAGAAAAATGTTTTCAGTTTGAGAATTTCATATAGTGTAACCTGTTTTGATGAGCCACCTATCCCACATGATGACATTAAGTGTTTAGCCAATAAGAAAACAGATAAATGATCCAGGTAACCAGTGCTTATTGTAGTTCAAAATCCTAGAAGTTTAGTTGGTGATGTTTTGCTACTAAAACTATGGTATATTCCATCTTAATGACGGACCCCACAAAAAAAGGAGCTGATCGGACTGCATGCTCTCCACATCATGTAGCTCACAGCAGGTGAAACGATGGCAGGATTCAGGGAAGTCTGGCAGCTTGACATGTCAATACACAGAGTGCTTTTCACCTCAAGTCAACAATTACCTTCACTGGTTAAATGCAAGATAACATCGCGCAACTTTAAAGTATTTTAGAGTGATTTGGAATGACTCAAAGATTTTCATTTAGCTTCAGTAACAAAACTCTCTGCAGGCGACGTGACTGCCCACAGACCCACAGGACCGAGTGGAGACTGGCCATCCTCACCTGGCTCATCATCAGCACATCACACATGCACAGTCTCAAAATAAAGCCAGTGGCAGTTCTCGCACATCATTACACTGCACGTCCTCATTATGAGTAACGTAGGCTAAGTTTACAGTTAAACCAAACATGAATAAATCACATTTACAAATGATGATTTTGATCACATGATATCGTGGGTGGGTGAGTGCCAGAGGTCAATGTGATTTTAAGAACCAATCAGCGGCCTCATTTTTACGTATTAAAAGTCATGAGGTGTTTATGGTTGAATGTAGGTGTTTAGAGGGTGGGATACAAAGCTGATCCACGTGCACACATTTATTAAGGAGTATTTGCCTGTATGTATCCACGTATCTGATTTTTGTATGCTTTTAATCTGGATACTAATTCACTCTTTTATAAATGAGACCCCAGAACTTGTCCTCTGTCACGTTTAGAAACTTGCTGCTTAATCCCACTTTTTTTTCTCCTTGAAGGCTCAAAAACTGGCCCTGTGTCTCCCCCTATGGGAGGAGACTTAGCATTGCAGACAGGTGAATCATCAGCCACGGCTGGATCAGAGTCTGAAGACTTTCATAACAAGGAGACTCTTAAAACAGCTTATATCGCTAGTGATTTTATTTCAAACAGGAAGTGCTAACCCCCTAAAATGAGCTGCTGCAGTACTTGGCTGGGATTAATTCACAGACAACTTCTGAATGGTGGTGATTGTGAAGCACTGCCACACTGCTCAGTGCAGGCTGAATACACAACAAGCTGTGGTCCTGCACTGAAAACTGATTGCAGCTTCTTTTCAGTCCTCTGAATGAGACAGCACAGCTCGTCAGGGTCCATCGTTATATGGTAACAGTTCAGTACCTGTCAACTCAGACGCACCTGTCCACTTAAAGTTTAATTTCAATTAGTGTTTTTCTAGAGAGTAGTGTGTAACCAACATAGTTTGGAAAAAAAACCCAGAGAGCACCTAGAGACATAAAGAATTACGCATTTGAGTACTAGCATAGGGGATATTCTGACCTCTGTGATGAGGAGGAGCACCGGCGCTGGTTAGAGTCCTGGATCGAGGCCTGTCGACCCTCAGCTTGACCACCCCGCTCAGCTGGGCTGACTCAGAGAGCGAAGGAAGCATTTCCCCACGGAGTACAGCCAGGTCGTGCTCCGAGAAGGACCGATCTCTTTTCAGAGGAATCGGGGAGCTCTCGGTCCTCCGCAGCTCCCCATTATCTGGAGACTCCTCCTCCTTTGGTGGAAAGGTGGTGGGTGAGGAAAGATTCGGGGTGGGGAGGAAAAGTGAGGGACCAGGGAGATGAGCAGGAAGAAAGTAAAGAGAAGTCACCAGGTAATAATGATCTATCAGCTTTAATTCTCAATTTTCTTCACAGTTTAGGATGCATCTATCCTGAGCAGTGTTTTCCAGCTCTTCCTGCAGGATCCTGTGTGTTCCCAGGACAGAATAAATCCAGTACCTTGCAAAACTAAGCTAACTAATATGTTATTTGTTGTTTTTAGGAAACTGAATTTGATATGTGGCTGGAAAACGCCAAAAAGGAAGCAGCTGACACGGAGGAACAGCAGATTCACTCCGAAAACCTTCAAACATTCAATTTAATTATGAAGCTTTTAGTCTTCCTCAAAGCTTCTCAACCTAAAGGTCAGGACCCCATTTGGGTCCAAGCAATATACAGTCTGCGAAGTTTTATAGACGCATCACAAGAGCGGGTTATTAACTTAGTACTGGTTTACTTCACCAATTCGTTAAGCTCAGATGGATATTGTATGGGAATATGGGAGACTCCTCGGTAGCAATTCCACCTGAAATGACCTGCTTTTTCTTTCTTTGTTTTTTTTTCAAGCAGGAGGATCCCTTTTTATTCTCCTGCATTTTATCAGTTCAGTGTGACATTTAGCTTTTTAGTGAAAATGGAGGAAGTGAAAATTAGTTTTTGCCTGTCAAACAGAAATTTAACACCACTATGCAGGCCTGTCTGGGAAATTTACCCCAGAGTGGGAAGAAAGATGTGAGGAGAGCTGCACCCTAAAGTTTGACAACAGGTTACTAAAAACACGTTTTTAAATATATTTAAGGAGATTTAATAACATAGTGTTGCTCTCTGAATCTGAGTATCAATTACAGACCATAAGAGAGCCTGCCAGCATTGGGTCCAGTTTTTTTTGGATTAAATAAGCATTCTGATATTAATGTATGAGCTGACACACCTTATATACACACACTTGATAAATTAAAGCAAAATCCTACAATGCCATAAGTCTATGGGAGTCTTAAAGAGGGAAAACTACTATTATTACAAAACATATTCTGACAGTTGGTGCTTTGATTAGGTTAGGATCTCGTGTGCTTGTACCCTGTGGGCGTCAGTGGTCTCTTCCACTTTCATCAGGACAAAATATTTAATTATAGGATGACGGAATGTATTGATGTAATTGGATGGAAGTGTCATGTGGACATTTCTGCTCTCAGGTTTTAAAGCCAAACAAGCATGATACTTTAGGAAAACAATGCCACAAAAATGCGTTTATAGAGGTATTGCAGACTAGATCTCACTGCTAAAGGAGGAGCTCTAAACACAACTGCTTAAATAGACAGTAAATGGGATGTGTGGCACTGGCAGATCGTGTGGACACTTGTGAGTCTTCCCTCTAAGGCACACGTGTCGAACTCCAGGCCTCGAGGACCGGTGTCCTGCAGGTCTTAGATGCGTCTTTGATCCAACACAGCTGATTTAATGGCTAAATGAGCTCCTCAACTTGTCTTGAAGTTCTCCAGAGGCCTGGTAATGAGCTAATCATTTTATTCAGGTGTGTTGACCCAGGGTGAGATCTAAAACCTGCAGGACACCGGCCCTCGAGGCCTGGAGTCCGACACTCCTGCTCTAAGGGCAGGGTGCTCAAACTGGTGGCCTCCACCAGGGGGCTGGTGGAGGCCCTTTGTTCTGAATTTCTGTTCAGGTTCTACTCATTTGTCAGAGCCACAGGGAGAAACTGGAAATGAGCAAAATAGCTGCATGAACCCCTGGAGGCCCCTCCTCTGAAACACATCCTGTAGTTTTAAATGAAAATCCTATTTGGACAAAAAGTCAAATTTCCAGGAATCCTAGAATCCCGGGCTAATGTTAATCCCATCCAAACTGACTCATTTTCCTGGTCAATTCAAACAGAGTAACATTGAAAACATCACCCCTGTGGAAATGTTTGCACAGCTTAAACTATAATCTACTTTAAATTAGTTTGGAACAGCTGCGATATTACAGTAAGTAGTTGCTGTCTGCAGTGCCTTACAGGATGGCCACAGACGAGGTTTAAAACGCTTGAGAGACTCGTTAAACCGTCACAGATGTACTCGGTGCAAGGAAAGAAGCAGGAGAGAGATTGTGACATATACCCAATGCCACATTTCCTAACCAAAAACTTGCAGCACGTAGCAGTAGTATAATATGAAATGTGAAAGCAAGGTGAAAATGAAAGAAAGGACTGAGGAGGCAGACTGTAAACATGTCATTCCCTCTGGATTAAGCAGCAGTCAGTTTTGACCTGCAGATATCTCCCCCCATGCACATGTGAGGATATTTTTTAAAGTGCTAAAGCGTAGGGGAGCTTTAATGTTTGATGTAACACAGCAAGAGCAAGAAGAGAGAAAGAAAGAATTTCCCAAGTTGCTGAGTCTTTGTGCAAAAGAGAAAGCGATTCTTCCCAGTCACTGTTTCATTTTCCTCCTCAGAGAGGAATCTTAACCCACTTAGATTGGGAAACAGAGCGTGTGCTGCTGTTAAAAACAACACTGAGCCCACTTTCCTATTCCCCTTCAAGATCACAGAGTTCCAGCTCACCTCTGATATGTTCATCTCCTCCATCTCGGCCAGGGTCGGGGCCTTGAGCAGGATGCGAGGACGGGTTGGTGGCCGGGGTCCGAGCTCCGACACGGATAGGTCGATGCATGAAGTGGATTTGACATTGCAGGGACACGTCTGAGCCAGACAGGGCAGAGAGCCAAATGCTGAGGGAAGAGAAACCAGAAACCAGAAAATCTCAGGTGTGCTGAGATCAGAAGGGAGTAATCAGACGCACCCTGTCTACCACTTTGGAGTCAGTGCAATGAAGCAGCTCCGCCTTATTCCATAAGTTGCAGAAAGGTTCTGTTTTCAGTTTTGTTCATATTGTCAGAAAGGGTTAATACTCATAGGCATCACGACCTTCCAAGAACAGCAAATTCTTGGTGAGGACTCAGTGAAAAGATCCAGGCCGGAGCAAAAGCCTTGGCACCAAACTCATAACTTTGACAGTCCCCCCGAGCCAATTCTGAAATTGCTCTTCCTTCATTCAAAATACAAAAATAACAAAAAAACAACAAAATTTTAAAAAACAGCCAGTCGATACAAACAATGACATGAGACGTGCTGTTCTGATGTAATAATATGGCTCAATTTGTCCTAAACCACCTGCCACAAACCTCAGTGAATCATGTTAACTGTGATTAATTTAAATTTTAGCCCTATCCAAATTTATTCACACTGAAATTCCTACAAATACACTATATGGACCTCACCTCTTAATCTTTAAATTTAGGTGTTTTCAGCCTCATTGGCACGGGCATATAAGATCAAACACCTCACCTGCAGTCTGCCTTTGAAAAACATTTGTGAAAGAATGGGTAGCAAGTGGTAACAGCACGTCACACTTGCAACAGATTTATTCCCTCATAGATACCTCCTGTGGCATTAACATCAGCACAAAAGCTGTCCACTGGGAGCTTCACGACATGGATTTTATGTCCAAACAGCTCCGGTAGGTCTAATACGTAGGTGTCATAGCACTTTGGTCCATTTAAGGTAAATATACAATAAAGCAAGCTAAAACAATTAACAGCATCAACACCTTTCTGTCACAAAACTGAGAGTACAACTTCTTTACAAAGTCCCTGCAGATGCAGACCACTATTAAATGGCTGAAAAAATCCTGTAGGAGTTTGAGGAGACCAAAAAAAAAAAGGATAAAAATAACACAAATACTGGACTTTTACAAGTAGCCAGTCAATCCATGCTTCCATAAACTTTTAAGGTGGTATAAGTAAAAACTAAAGGAAAGAAATAATAATAAATGTGTGTGGATCAGCCAAAACCTGCTAAATTCATTGGTTTGATGGTTAATGGTTTCGAAAATAACTCTAAAGTCTGCATTTACACAGCAGTAATTGGAAGTCCTCTAAAAGCACAAAGCAAGTGATTGACTTTAATTCTTAAATTGTATTTTACCCACAGACATATCAGCATAAAAAACTCCCTTCAGATACAAGTCAAGACATTCGATTCCTCTTTCTGAATAAAAGCATGCCAGTCCCAGTTGACTAATTTCAGTCTCTGCAAGGCAGCTTGCTTTATAAACAGTCCGCACACTAAAACACGCTGACCTTGATCTGAAAATAGCAGGTCAATATTTATGAAACGTGAGATGACCTTCATGTGTACTGCAGCTCTAAATAGAAAAGTATTGTTGTGACTCTCAAAAGCTACAGTACAGAATGTCCAGACTCACTATGATGCAATTATTTCATCAGTTTAATGCAACTGTATTCACCTCTGAAAGGGCAACTGCATGCAGCTGCAAGCCAACTAGATAAACAAACACACGCTGCAGACAGGCTTAAATTTAAATATAATATTCATTATAATGAGAACATTATTGAGCACCTGCAAGGACTGATGAGGTTTCTGACAATATAAATAAACTTTCATTACTTAATCTATATACAAACAATAGATTAGGCAGTAGTTTAATATGTACTTGTGAGTGCTTTATTCTGCAAGTGCATCCAGTCAGAACAACAAAACACAATATGCAACCACTTTATCAAAGAAGTACTTTGTAGGTCTTTCTATCCAGCAGCTTGCAGCTTGCATGGTACAGCTGGACTCTACACAAGCGAGCTCAGTTTTTAGGTCATTGACAGGGTTTAAAAACCATTACAGAGTCCCAACTCTCGTCCCCTGTGATGGTCCTTATAACGAAAATAGGGCCAGCTTGACAGAGAAGCTGATACTTGCTCGGTGCCTTGGTTTTAGGCTCATGGTGACACTCAGGGAGTGACCCAACAATAGCAGCAGGTTATTAAAGCCCTGTCCAAGGAGACTATGAATATGTTTGTTTGTTTTTTAACTCAATGTTAAAGTTAACTTAATGATCACACTTTACATGGTAAAAACGATCTGTGTTTTATCTTTACTGCTGGGATGACCCAGTCACAGGTCCCTGATGCCTAATAAAATACCTGACCGTACATTCTCTCCATGATATTTACATACTTGTTAAAGACTATTAGCAGTGTACTGCTTCTAAAATATGGTCTAAAAAATTAAACCATGTGTTTGTTTGCTGGGATATGGATTGCAGAGTGGGAGAAGGGTTGTTTTTTTTTAAATATTTTTGCCTTTATTAAAAAGTGCAGTGGTGGAGTGTGAAATATAAAGTTGGGAAAGACCTGCAGAAGGCCTTGGGTCGGTACAGGCATTTTTGGCAGGAGTGCCTTAAACCTGCATTCTTTCTAATGGTCAGCAGGGGGCGACTCTTGTGGCCGTAAAAAGAACTAGAGAATATGCAGGCGTCCGTGAGGAAAGGAAAAAATGCTCACTTGATCATTGACCTATTTCCTGTAAGCACTTTCCTGGTCGGTTTGTGACCTCAGTCACTACTTTTACATCTTAATTATAACAACATGGATTTCCCTCTTCAAATAACTGTAATTGCTGTCTTTGTGACTATCAGTCTCTTACACCATTGTGGGAGAATTTTGGCCCAATCTTCTTGACAGCATTGCTCACTGAGGTTTTTATGCGCAGCTCTCTGTGGTATTTCAGTCAGGTCGAGGTTTAGACTTTGACTGGGTCACCGCAGCACTTTGATTCTTTACTTTTAGAGTACCCGGGCAAAATGTGGATGCAAAATGAGCACAAATCATCCCGTGCTTGAAGTTGGTTTGAGGTATTTGTGCTGATGGCGTGTGTTTGGTTTTCGCCAAACATCAAACTGAAAATAAAAGTTTATTTAATCACCCAGTTCTTGGTACCTGGTATCTCTTTTGGGCAAAAGCAAATGCTATGGTGAAATGTGCAATATGAAACCTGTCCAAACTCTCTTTTCCCAGCTTATCCAAACTAAGTGGAGGGATACCAAACAGCAGAAATTAACTTTACTTGTATCACACGCTTTAAGCCTGTGAACCAGGACTCTCAGGTCTCCTTTGGCACTTTGTGTCTTAACAACAATCTCTAAATGCAAATCTATGCAGAGCTTTTGAACCTCCTTTTGATTAGTGGCATTCTTTGTTCTGTTTATTTCGTTTTATCTATCAACACCCCGGGATCAAAGATTGTTCCCTTACGTCTCGAGCTGGGTGGAACTACTGGTCTAAGCTTCCTCTCCTGCTTGATCTCAGCCAGAACCCGGTCATGGAGGGACTGCTGCTGTGGGGGAGGAGGAGGGAGGCTGCGCTCTGAAACCTAAAGAAGAGAGGCAATTAGGTCACATCCACGAGTGAGAAATAAATATAAGTATATTACTTTTGTACTTTGAAGAGAGATTTTGATTATTCAGTACAGGTTATGCAGTCCATGTCCAGATGTTGAAATTTAAAAACCATGACACAACCACACAGAAGAAAACAGCACTGTGCTATGATATCAGTGAATGTTAGAAATGAGGCTTAATAAACTTCCAAACAAAAATAAGACATTTACTGGACATCTAAGTATTATTTATTAGCATGTATCAAAGAGGGCAGCATTAAGAAAAAAAAGCTAAACTAAACATTGTCCACTGGAGGAAGTTTTTATTTTTATTGCACAAAACCACGAGCGCACGATGGTAAAGTGGAGACTGCATCATGACAGAAGCATTACTGCTAACATAACTTCAGCTCTCTGCAAGCACCTGCACAGACAGCGTGCTAACACTAAGCTAGCCAAGAACGCAGAGAGAGGAAAAAAACCCTAAACCCACTTACTGGTTTAAGTGGAGGTCTTGATCTGATGAAATCCAGGATCAGTTCATGAGCATTTCTCTTCACTCTAGTAGGAATATCACCGTCCACCTGAATAAGCCAGGAAACAATGCAGAGCTTACTTCCTAAGTCTAACTTTTGTCAAGATAGACAGAAGGCTAAGACGGATAGCAGCGACTCTTTTTTGGCCTCTTGATCAAAGTACATTGCAACTATGCATCATATGGTCAAAGCAGATAAAACAGACTCCACACATCCAGGAGCATATTCTGGAATCCAAAGCTGCCTATAAACTACAACAGAACATTAGAAATATCCGACTCTCTCACCATACTATACTCATTATAATGTATAGAAGTTAAATAGAAATTGTAATCACAATCACAGCACATGCTGTAATCTGCTGGTATTTTCAAAAAACTGCAGCAGCTGCCAAAACAGCAGAAGGCTGAGAAAGGCCTTTATTAATATTTGCATTGTAAAGCTGAATTATGCATCTGCCTGTGGAGAAGGCCTCGAGATGATTCACTGCCACATGCATGCCTCCCATACAACATTTTCTTTCTGCAGTGAAGCCAATTTACAATACATGCATGATGCAGTAAGGTGCCTGAAAAAGGCCTCTAGTCTGATTCCTGTCTGCCCTGAGATGACTCCTATCAAGTTTCCAGTGAAAACATTTCAGAGCTTTAAGTGCTTACTCTGCAAAAACAGCTCCACTGATTTCAGCTTCGTTACATCATGTCTGAACTCTCACCATAACTTTGCGTAGCTGGAACTTGCGAGCTCGTATGTCCTGCATGAGCATCTCGAACGGCGTGAGGCTGAACTCGGTGGGCAGCGGGTTGAACGGCTGCTCCTGCACCTTCTTCAGCTTCACTCCCTGCCTGAGCTCCTTCATCAGCTGCACCCACAGACGGGCCTGGCATTAAGCAATACGCAAACAACAACACCACTCATGTGCATGTGTCAGAGCAACAACACTGCTGTCCTCCCTGTCACAGACTGAATTCTCCCCTCACCCAGTCTCTGTGTTTCAGAGTGTCCAGTTCAGCCGTGGATCTGTCTTCCAGAGATTCCTCTGATGAGATCTTCTTCAGCATCTGGGCAACAAAAACATTTTTTTGTAGACGGCAGCAGTTGTCCATGACGACTGATTTTTACCTCTAAAACATGCCCACATCCACCTATAGTAAGTAAAGCAGGTCTGTGCTTCAACATAATATTCCCGTATTGTGTGTGTATAACCTCTTTTTAAGTTTTGTGGATATTATACATGGTTATGCTCAGGATATGTCGACGAGTTTCCACTGGAAATGCCTTTTGGTTAAACTGTCAGCAAGGAATTTGCATTTGCACTGTTAATTTTTTATATAACTTTAATGCACATAAAAAACAGCTGCTTGTTTAAGTGAAAATACATTGATGGGGTTTTTTTTTGCACTAATAAAGTTGTGGAGTTGTATTTTGTCTCGCGTCAATTATATTGTCAGTTATATTGTTATTGCAAATTTTCAAATGTATATCGTGATAAATATTTTTGGCCATATAGCCCTGCCCTAACATAAATTACTGCAGAGATTCTGTTGACTTTACAAATTTAGAAAAGGTATAAAATGCTTAAATATGACACTGGAGACAAATCCAGTTACCCAAAGCTTATTTACAGAAATTCATTTATAAAGGCCATGAAAACCAAACGTTCCAGCTCATCCTGCTTCTTCCTCCCCTGAATTCTTTGAATAACTTTAACTTATTTTAAAAGCATCCACAAATCAATTTGTCAGTGTTTTGTCAGAAGTGTTTACACTTCAGCTGCTGATGTGACATTTTAATTGCTTTCAGCATCTGCAAGTCCACTAATACTTCAACTGTTTTAGCACCTAATAAGTGTACATGAAAGTATCAATTGAAGTATTTGTGATAGAGATGTTTCGGGAATTTTTCAGAAAACCTATCAAGATGTAAGCAAGTCAAAAACTTGATAATATATCAAGTTGTGGAAACCAGAATTACAGCATATTGCACTGACTGACTCGGAATAAAGTCTACATTCATTAGTCTTCCCATATGTTCTTGATGGGACAGCTGTGAGCGTGTCATTTTGGGTGAATGCTAATTAATAAACCATCACTAATGTTAGTTGCTAACAATACATATGAAGCCATTCATATCATTTTTGTTGCCCCGCCTGAGTAAATTATTCAGACAGTTGTCTTCTTCTTCTTCATTTGGCTGCTCCCTTTAGGGGTTGCAACATCTGCCTCCATCTTATTCTAGCATCGCTCACATCGTCCTCGGGCACACCAACCCTCTGCATGTTCTCCTTCTCTACATTCATGAATCTCCTCTGAGGTTTATTTTCCCCCTGCCTGGAAGCTCCAATTTTAGCACCCTTTTAAAATTATTTTATTTTCACTCTTGCTCATATCCCTCTGTCACAAGTCATCCCTGACACTCCACCAAATCCACCCGTCTCATGCTCTCTTCTTCTCCTCTTTTGTGCACTGTCCATTGCTTTGGATGGTCGACCTCAAGTGTTTAAACTCATCTAAACTTCACCATCTCTGCGCCTTGTACCCTGCTCTCACTACAGATCACAATGTCATCTGCAAAAGTCTCAGCTCAAGGAGACTCCTGCCTGACTCCTGTCTCCTGCCTTTTTAAAATTTTTTGGGTTGGGTTGGAGGGTAAAATCAGGTGGAGATACAGCTGCTGAAACAGAAAGGTGTTAACTAACAACAACTCTGGACTGAAGGCTCTCTGCCTCATCTGGATCTGCTAGAATGACACAGTGTCAGTCTACCATCTGCATGTACTCATGTAAACAGCTTTCTGCACCATGTTTCTGCTAAATATCGACCAAAAAGCAGAAACACTGCAGTGACACGCCGCAAGTCAGATTTAAGGTTGAGTAGTTGGAGGAAACTGTGGAGGCGGCTTCTTCAGTCATTTATCAGTCTGCAGGATGTAAACAGGAATATTAATGGAGAAAGGCTGTAAGAATTTCACATTTAGAGGGCACACACAAACACTACACCACTGAAGCAGCAGCTGTGGCGTGTCAGTTATTCTTGTTTACACCTGTTTACAGGTGGCACACACCTGATGCTTTCAAGGACAGCTGAAACCTGAGATTGCATTACGCTGCTGAGTCAGCTCTTTATTGTTTTTCTTCTTTTTAACATTCCAGTCTATCCTATGAATACAAAAAACAAAACATAAAATGACGAGATGATAACAAACTCAACGTACCTCCTTTGCATCTCTGATCTTGACGAGGAAGGTCTGCAGCTCCAGGGTCTCAACAAACAGAGCCCTGCAGACGGCCTGGTAGTGCTCCGGAGCCAGACTTGGGTTTGCCAGTCGAGATGCACACAGCGCCATCACCTGGCGGAACGTACACACCGGCCTGATTATGCCCTCCCGGTCCTCCTCTTCCTCTACCTCCTCCTCCTCCTCTTCCTGTCCACTGTACCCCTCATCTGTTGTTGCGTTTCCGGCGGTGCTGTAGCCCCCTCCACTTTGATCCCCTGCCGCCATGCGTTCGATGAGGCGCTCCAGCTGTGGGCTGAGCTCGCGCTCCTCAGTGTCATCCAGCCCCCAATCCAGGGCTCGGTAGATAGCCACGCCGAGCAGGTGGACCAGCTGGAGGGATGAATGAGGAGGAACACAGAAAGTCAGTTAAAAGTATTGCTAATAACTGTTTTACAGGTCCAGATAAATATAATCTAATTCACATAAAAGACTCCCTTTTAAGCATTCTTCACCCATGTTGCTGTTGCGAAGCTGGGATGTCAAACATAAGGCCCAGAGGCCAGAAGCAGCACCGCAAACACTCAATCTGGCCCACTGGATGACTTTGGAAAATGTGAAAAGGGACATCAATTTTGGACTTTTCACTGAATTTTTACAGTTTTTAAAGTTTTACAGTTTTCGTGGTAAAGACATCCCCCACTAGTATTAAATAAACAATTAATGACAATAAAATTTCCTTTTTCCCCCACCAACTACTATAGATTTGTAATTATTATCATTATCATCTATTTATTTAATTTTTACAGTGGGTCCACTGTAAAATTGTGATTACAACTTAACCTGAAGGTGGCGATGTTGTCTCACTGTCCTAATCCCTGCCTTCCTGTTGAAAGGGATTTTTCCCTTCCACTGTCGCCAAATGCTTGCCCATAACATTCAGACAACCTGCTAGGATTTCTTTTTAACTTTGTAGAGTCTTTACCTTGGAATATGAAAGTGCCTTGAGGTGACTGTTGTTGTGATTTGGCGCTATATAATAAAACTGATTTGAATTGAATCTACCATTGTTTTCAGTAACAGCAACTTTGACCCCAAGGACAAGGGACAAAAAAGTACTGCACACCTTTGAAAAGCCTGACAGTAACTTATGTCTAGAGTTTCTTTCTCACCTGGCACTCTGTAGCAGGAGAACGAGGAGGCCCATCAGTGTCATCTAAAGAGACAAAAACAAAAAGATAAAACCAATAAAACCAATCTGCAAAGGTTATGATTTTGCAATATTTTACACCTACTCCTTTTCAATCTCTAAAGAACAGAGAAAAAATGCAATATTGATTTATACACTTCACCCATCTAAAAAGTTTCATTTCCAATATGATTAAAAAAAGATGCTAATAAATTGTATAAAGTAAATCCTTTGTACAATATTTTAATATACAGCAAACTAAATAAAAATATCACCTCATATACCACCTAAATGTAAAACAAATAAAGCAGTCTCCACGTGCAAAACACGAGATGTTGATTTTCTCAACAAGTAAACCCACATTAAGGTGTTCTGTCCTAATTCTCCTCTGCGTCGTGGATCTGGCTCATTTGTTGATTTGATTTTATGCTATTACAAACTTTTTCCCCACCTCTCTTCTCGGGTGCTGCCCCAGTTTTTAGCTTTAATGACTGAGCTTAACTTTTGAAACTTGAATCCAAACTAAGATTTGTTCTGAGCAGTTCGCATCTCACTTTTTTAATACACCCCTCAGGTCCCCCCCCCTGCCGATGTAGCCTCGTTAAAATGTCCCAAAGCACAGATTTTATCATTTAAATTAGTTTTACATAAATTTGAGTATTCTGGAACATCCTTCAGGCAGGAAAAAAGGACAAAACCAGTCTCACTTATTATTTGTAATTTTTGAGTTTTTCCCTTTCCAGTATAAATATTTAAAAGCACTCTGCTGTACGATTATGGAGATGGATAGGACTCTTTTCTGCAGCAGCCGTTTTTCACCCCGATTCACTTCCATTTAATGCTCGTCACTTGTCATATAACACACCAGAGACATGGTTAATGGGCACATGAAGCAATTTACACCTGTCCCTGCTTCACTTTGCTCAAACTACAACGTCACAAAGATTGATTACGAAAAAGCACAATTTTAAGGTCCAGCTGCTTCTCAGACTACATAAATGTGGAGAAGCCTGAGAAAATATCTATCAAGGTTAAAAAAAATTATATATTAATCAAAAATGTGAATGAAAATATTAAGAAATGTCCACTTTCTACTGAAGAGGTGATGCTGTTAACTGCTGCATTTATCAAGGCATCCAGTGTCTTTGAGTAAAATTAATGATTCTGAAATCTGGAAATACAAAAATTAAGACAAGAAATGAAATCTGACTTCCACTAGAGCTTGATTTTTTTTTCTAATGATCTTTATCTACAGAAAATACACAAGACCACTCCCACTCTTCACACGAGGGAACAAGTAACATAGTGGAAACATTACCATGTGAGTTTATCAAGTTTTTCAAAGTTTAGTGATGGTTTCAAACAAGGTGGGAAATACAGCAGAAGAGCAGTTTGCATCATGAGCTGCATAAAAGATTGCATGGCTTTATTGCTTTTCCTCTGATAAAGGATGGTGAAGCACCCCCCTTGCTGAAGGAGACAATAAAGGAAACACTGAAGCACCTTTCTTTAGTACTTAGAGACACAAATTCAGTTAAGAGCTTTCTTAAGCAGGGTCAGTTTGACTGAGAGTACTGTAGCGTCACATTTCTGACTAGGAAACACAAATAAAACTGAACACTGCTTAGTTAAGGCTGATTCTAATTGGAACCCCAATAGAACAAAAACACTAACCAACCCTGAAAGCATCAAGAGCTTTATGAGCAGGTGACTGGAGTTCCCTAACATTATTTGTGCCTCGGCCCTGCTGAGGACAGCATGAAGAGTGAATGTGCTAAAATGATATAATAGTCGAGCACATTAGTAATCTTTGAAAACTACAAACAAAGAAGACTTTGAGTTTGTAACACAGAATAATTGAAAGCTGTAAACACTTCCCAATAAGCTTTTGTTTTCCATGCAGGTACGATGGCAAGAAACATGAAAGGTTTTTTAGCTTCCAGCGCCAATGATTCCTGAACCAATAAAGTATAAGTAAAAGTGGGACCATTCAGGTTGGGCAGTTTGGAGACACAAAGCTGAGATTTTTTAGACACGTGCAGAGGAAGATGCTGAAGATGAAGCTTCCAGGAAGGAGGGAAAGAGGAAGGCCACAGAGGAGGTTCATGGATGTAGTGAAGGAGGACATGCAGAGGGCTGGTGTGACAGAGGAGGACGATGGAGATAGCGTGAGGTGGAGGCAAACGAGCCACTGTGGTAACTTCTAAATGGAGCAGATGAAAGATGATGAAGCTGGTAATGGAACCCACAGTTCCCATTATCCAAATGGATTCAGTTAGACTACAGTTAGACTACTTTCCAGGGAGCTTGTTTTTATTCATCTCAGATCGAGGAATAAATTCCACTGGTTTTCTTTAAACTGTGAGTGAGAGCATGTTATACCTGAAGATTCTTTGTTAAAGAGCAAAATTAGGTTAAAGTTCACCAAAAAATTTTGAAAGAAAAATGTTTATGAGCCTAAATGTCGGAGAAAGTGGCTTGTATGTTTTTTATTTCAAAGTCTTTTGATGGCTTTATTTTCAACATGTAAATAAAAATAAGCAACAAAAGTGCATTGTAAACAGGTTAAGTAGGAAATGGATGGCAAATTGCCACCAAAAGCACTACACCACCTAGCCATTGCTTAACCTAATGGGTTGAAAGGAGCACATTGTAGTACTGCTCACAATAGTTTTTGTTGTTTCTGGTTTAACAAGCCCTGCTTTCTTCCCAGTGAATGTTTATTAAATCATGTTTCAAGTCAAGGTTGGAAGTTATTATTTTGTTATAAAATATTAAAACCAACTTTTCAGCTTTTTATTTTATGGCACGACGCATCCTGGTTAGCAGGATGTGTTGTGCTGTTTCCTTTCAGGGATGTTTTTGCAGTATTGGTATCGATGCGTGGGAGGGGCGAGTCAGCATGCCACAGCATCCACTGATGTCAACAACAAAGAGCCCTTAGAGCGTGATGTGAACCTTAGACAAACAGAGAGTTTCTCTGTTCCTTTGAGCAGACATAGATGCTGCTTCCATTTGGCGACAAAAGAAACTCTCCATTGTGATGCACACCCCACACCACCGCCTATCTGCAGGGGTGAGACGATAGCACGAAGCCCAGTAAACCTGTCAGACAGGTTTGCATAATACTTGACCGGGGTCACACAGTGTAACCAATGATCCCTCCATCTGTTTCCCACAGTTACAACCCAATAAACACAAAAGGGGAGATAATTGTGCATTGAAATCGCTTCCAAGAGCCCTCCAGCTTAGATTCAGGGAAATGCAATAACCCAGTTATCCATATGCATATAGCAGAGACGGGGCATTACAAATTCTTGGCTCTGGGGCTTGGTTATGGTTAGCATCAGCTTTAGCCATAACAATATGTTATGTAATAGGTTCTTGATCTTGATGAAGAAAAAACCCATCTCCTACAAATCAGTTTTGATTTACAATCATTCTATCAGTCAGTCATTCATTTTAAATCTTAAATTTTCTAATATTTTACCCACAAAACAGCCTGACCAACAAATGTTTTTGATCATGCATGCTCACTTTTTTCCTCTCCTCCTTTTCCTCTCCCTTAGATTCCCTGCTTAGCTTCTTGTGTCCTTGTCTAGTCTCGTGTTTTTTGTATTACTTTTCCCTGGAACACTCTCTCACAGTCTGTTCTCTAAAACCTAAAAGAGAATTATGGATTTGATCAACTGGTCTCTGAATGCAATTGACACCCCTTTCTCAATGAGAAGTTTGGGCTTGGGTGAGCCTGAGTGCTGAAGATACCTACCTATTCGGAACCATGATAACAGGGTTCTTGCTGATAACGACTGTGTTTAGCCTGTTCTTCCCATTCCATGCAAGGCCACCTGGGTTGGCTGGAAGACTGTTTACTTAGCCTGGCAGGGCGAAGGACACTGTCTCAGCTGAACTTTGGACACGCACACACATACATATACTCTGATACATGCACACATACACTCATCCCCCCTCCAAACGCCTTCGACGCTTATTCCCTTCCGATGCTGACGGTGGATCAAGGAGACCAGCACACAGGCTGCGGGCCATGTACTGTCTAATTGGGCTGTCTCTCACCCTTTACCCACCCCTGTTGCTTGTCGTGTGTTTCTTTGGTGTATTAAGAGTTTTTTCATGTGCTATGTGCAGAGGTGTTTTTTCTGTTCTCAAACTGATCTCCCTGTTGGAGCTCAGTCTGGGGGGAGTTATTTTTTCTCTCCTTATCTTTCCTCATGTGGTGCATTTTCCATTGTTATACCTCTCTGACCTGTCTTCCCCGTGTGACGTTTTTGTGTAATGTATGTATGGTCGGAGGGTAAGATGGCGCCGCCATTGCGTGCAATAGGTCGGCAGCCTTATGAAATTTCCCCTTGTGGGACTAATAAAGGAATATTAAATCAAATCAAATAACCCGTTGCCTCCCATGTTTACCTGAACGGCTTTAGCTACAAGTTCATGTTAGTTAATGGCCACATCATGACAGCTGAAACTCAGACCATCAGTCTTCAGCAATGCTACTGGATTTGTAAGCTTGTTCAAATGCTCGTGGTCAAGGAAAACAAACTTTGATTCATGCACACACACTCGCATTCTGATGGATGAATCGGGGGATGCTGGGGATTTTCCTTTGGCACTGGTAATCTTTCGTAGACCATCTCAACCACCTGAGCCACAGCCTCAAAACAAGTACATGACTGATACATATATATATATATATACACACTCTCTCGGAAATGAGATTTTTAATCTCAATGACATTTTTACCTGGATAAATTAAAGACTAAATATAGTTAGTGAAAGCACATGAAATCAATAATTAGATGTTAGACAAACAGATATACTTACACACAACATCCTAGACATTTCCAGTTAACTACCACAACTATTAGATCATGTTATTGTGGTGTCTAACTGCCATAAGGTGAACCCACAGTGTTCCTTCTCATTAGCTGTAAGTCACACATGGTCTCATAGCTAATGATGGAAAATATTTCCTAAAAAAAAGAAAAAAAGGCCTGATACCCACACTC